CATTTACTAGATGTTTAAGTGTGTTAGAAAAGGGATGTACTGGGAAACTGGGGACAGGGAGCTGTTTTGTATTAAGACAAATACAGTCACTTTCCAATCCAAATAGAAATTCTCTGGAGCTTGCCATCTTAAACTGTTTAATTACATTATCTATTTGTGTGAGTGTTGGTTCCTTGTGTTCAAGAGCTTTCTGGTCTGTCAGCTAGGGATGTTATGAGCGTAAAGAGCTATACGAGGTGCTTGGCAAAGTGGGCTGGCTTCTCCCTGACACTGCTGTAAGGTGGTGGTGGTTGTTTGGGGGTTTTCTTTTTTTTCCCTTTTCTTCCTTTTTCTTGTCTTGTCTTTTTTTTTTTTCCCCCTCCCCTCTTGCATCAGACCTTACTTAGTTCTGGCTGAGGGCTACCTGCTGGGGCTGCCCCAGCTCATCCCGCCTCTTCCCTAAGCCAATTTATTGGATCTGTTTATTGGGTGTTCCAGCCAATTGTCCCCTGCTGGATGAAACCCCAGTGTTGTGGGAGCTCCTAGCTCCCGTGAAAGACAAGCTGTTCTTTCCCGTGGAAAGCTCTGGCCTTGCAAAGACTTGAACTTGATGCTTGATATTCTCAAGCGTCTGTTGAGCTTTTGGCAGCTTGTTCGCTGTGCTGTTTTTCTATCAAGATATCCTCCTGTTATCAGGAGGAGGGGAGAGAGAGAAAAGCTGTTATAGCTAATTCTTTTACCAAGTTCCATGCAAATACATCTTAATTCCTTCCTCAAGAAGTTTTGAATTTTGCCTTCCATTGGGAGCAACAAATCTTCTGTCTTCTCCAAGTCTAAGATCTTCTTTACACTCTTGAGGAAGTAAGTCCTTCAGAAAGCTCCCAGTCCAGTTGAACTGATATTTCATAGTCATCATCATTTCCATACCAAAGAAAGGCAACAGGATCTGTCTAAGGCCTGCTACAAGACTCCCGAGGCAGAAACCCAAAGCTCTAGAGGCAGCTGCAGCACTGCTGTGCTCCAACCCCTGTTGCAGTTATTTAAGGAAACAAATTGAAGCAGTGGGGGGAAAAAAGGGTAAATTAAGATCTTCCCTTCCTACAGATCTCTGCATGTCTCTGGTGGTTGAAGTAGCAAGGGAGAAATTAAGTTTTGTCCCTTTCCCCCAGTAAAGAGGGGATTAAATTGTTTATAACCTGGCTGACTGCTCTAACCCATAGAGCGTGTATTATGTTTTGAGTGAATATTATGCTTTGAGATCCTAGCTGGAGCACTGACTTTGTGTATCCTGATGGGGCTTTGATGAGTAAGAGGCTGTTCTGCCCTGTCAAGATCCAAAATGCTTCTGCAAAAGCACAACAGCAGCTGCTTAAGTGGCTTTGGGTCCTTCTCACTCAAGTAGCCATGGCACAGCAACTCTGATGAGTTCTGAATGCAGATGCTTAAATCTGAAATGGAATAGGAGTTTGGGAACTGGAAACCCAGTTCCAGAGGTACTTAAGCTCTGCAGGAAGTTTGGGGTTTGTGTTTTGGAGTGGGTTTTTTGGTTTTTTTTTTTCTAAATCAACCCTCTATGTAAAGTTCTTCTCTTGTATATACCTTGAACCAAGTCTTGATTGTTCAGGCAACCTTTACACCTTATTTTTGTCTGAGCCCAGAGATCGAGCATTCTCGTGTGTAAGCTTTTGGAAGTTTTGAACAGGGAAGCGTGCTCTGAAAATGCATATGACATGCCTGCTGCAATGTGATCCAAACACAGTGCAACAGGCACTTCTGATTTTATTTTAAAACATGGCTCAAGATTTCTAACACTATTTCACAGTTAGGTTGCATTGCTTAAAGAAATTTACTGGGGCTGTGAGAAAAGGTTCAAATGCCCACTCTAGTGAGGCAACAGTCATCATTTTAATTTGGGTATGAATTACTTTAATAGCTTTCAAAAGAAAGGCTTCAAAAACAGAGAGTGCCTTAATGCCACCCCCAAGAAGTCTAGACAGATCGCATCCTCTCTGAGGCCTTTAGTTCACTTCTTACAGCTCTCCACAGGCAGAGGATATTAAAACCATACCTTCGGTGTCCTGGATAGGTGCTTTAACCTTTGAACTGTGGATGGAGGATAAATCAGTGGGAGCAATGACTAGTTTTCCCCTCATTTTTACAGAATGGGTTTTTTGGGTTTGGGGTTGGCTTTTTTTGGAAATGATGTTATAAAAGCTGAACACCAGGTGCCACTCACCTGTACCTGACGCAGTGCAGGATGTAAAACAAGCCCTGCCCTGAGCACTTCCCTCTGCTAAGTCTAAACAGCTTCTTGCTGGTATCTTTAAAGAACATAAACTGTTAAGTAGGTAGCTCTGCTAATTAGGACATGATCTAATTCAGGTTCCTATGTTCCACAGCAGGTGCTTAAAAATTAGATTTTCATTACAGGTATTCCAGCTCAATTTAGAAAATGCAAATAAATTTCAGTAACCTCTCTATGTAGTAGTTTTTGTGAAGATAATAGCACTTTTTAAGAATTTGTTGGGATAGTTTTTAAAATTGGACAAAATAAGCAAGTGCTACAAGAACAATTTCTGGCTGAAAAAATTATCAGGTTATTGCATCAATGTAATGGTTGGAATGCTGAACCACAGGGAAGTATTTTCATTTCACAGCAAAAGCTTTGTGAAGAACTTCCAGCAAAACACCTAAGCAGCCAATATGCAGCACTTCAGCCTTTACAACACCTATATAAAGTCCTTGCAGATATGATAGACTTTGCAGGTTTTATCTGCTGATCACAGCAACATGCTGTTAATGCTAGCTGCTGTGTCTTAGTACTTCTTTGCAAGGCAACTGCTCAAGCAAGGGTTTGCTTCTGAGAGTTCAGTACAGACAGCACAAAAAAACCCCCCAAACAACTCACCCCATCCAAAAGCTGAAGAATGACCATCTCCTTGGCAACTGAAGCACTTAGCATGCTTGTGCCCAATGTAAATTGGCACAGTTTTACAAGTGAAGTTAGTATAATCAGGGTGCAAGTAATTTGAGAAAAGTAACTAGAGACAGTACAGAGTATTCTAGGTGTAACACTTGGACCATTGTCTGTTACTAATTTTTATTGCATGGGTGAAGACTGTACAGAGACAGCAATATAACACAGCAATGCAGGTGGAAAAAGAGACACAAATGGCTGGCTGCAGTTGTCTGTCTCACCATGATGCTAGGGTAGTCAGGTGACTAATAAGCTTGTCAGGTTGATTACCCATCAGAGCTAACACCAACTGGGAAGAATAGGAAATGACACCTTCACCTCTTGTGCAACTTCACCCTCAGGTTATGCATTGTTATACAGCTGAGCTAGCAGACTGCTGCCACCAGGAGAAATAAGTGCTGCACTCAACAGGCAGTGGCTCTGGTTCTTGTCTGATTACAAGATATGATCCAATTCACTCACCCAAGCAAACAAAGAGCATGCACTCATCTCTTTTCACCCATTAATTTTTCCTGCTAGTTGAAATAAGTTCATACTGCTATCCTGTTAGGAGAGCTAGCTGACCACAGGCTTTCAGATGTGCTAGCATTAAGCATGCAAGTGAGTACAACCTTGGTAAATAGCTTGCTTGCTAAAAACCAGCATCTTGAGGATCTTTACTTTTAAGTCAGTGCTTCCACAGAGATGGTATGCCACCAAGGAATTTCAACCTCTTTGTCAGCACTAGCCCTCACTATTATTGATATTTCATGTAGAAATTCATTAGAAAAGCAACCACCCCCTAGACTAAGTAAAGAGTTCTAGTTATTTTGCTTTAGTGTAAACTTTGACCACCTAAAAACCCCCTGCACCTAACTCCAGAAGACAGCACTGCTGAGAGCACTGCTTAGAGCTCTTCCATACAACTACACATAAGATGTGGTCCCTTTCTGTGAATGAGAAGGCCAGCAGCAGCATCATTTAATCCAGTTACACTAAGGGGTAAGCCTGACCTACCACACAACCATAAAGCAGAACATTAGGAACAAAACAACACAGCTTCCTTTAACAGTGGGACACTTAATCAAGGAGTAGAGTATCTTCCAGAAGACTGTCACCTAATACTGTTCTATGCAGGCTTTAGTGCATAACCTTTTTACAAGATTATTACCTAACTTAAGGTCCTGAAGTTATGTACCACAGCTGATGGCTAGTTGAGTGTAATTATTCAATAAATCTCCAGGACAAAGCTTTGAATTCAATAGTTTATTTATAATTGTAAAAGCATAAATGTTACATACATTGAGTAATTGCATATTTGTTAGAATCGTACCTACTTAGAAGATTGGTGTGTGCAAAGACAAGACAGCCATGCTTAGATTTCCCCCCAGTAGTTCGTTGCTTTACTATTTATTCCCCCTTCAGTTCAGTAAAATTTCCATAGAAACAGTGAGGAAATATAGATATATAACAGAGTTATTGAAGTGTATGAAGACAGTTTGACAACATCACACAGGCCCTTTAGAACTACTGAAGGTAGAGATCTGCCTAGTATTTAAAAGACTGGACTAGGCAAGAGTTACAGCAAACAGGCAATGAGCCTAGTTACAGTTCACTCAAACCATTTGTATTTATAGCTTGTTATGAACAAGAAAATTGGTGTCAACTTCTATCACATCATTCCAGAAGATATCAATGGGGTATGTATACACACACATATTTAAAAAATGTATATACATACATGTATTTTTTTTTAAATAAGGCAGGTATTTATTTCAGGCTCTTAAGACATTTTTTCCAGCCCCTTTTCCTATTAATACAGCATATGTTGCCATTTTATTGCTAAAGAAAGCATACCATCATTGCAAGCAGAACAGCATCAGCACTGACTTTAGTTAGCAGTCCAGTTGAGTTAATAAGGTTCAAGACATACATCATTACTATGGAAGAATATTACTGTTACAGAAATACAGAAGACTAGTTGAATTCTATTTAGATCACACCAAATCATTCTCTTGACATAGTCTGTAGTTAACAGTATACACTAAAAAGCAGAAGAGCACCATTTTGGAGCAACAGAAAGAGATATCTAAAATACTACTTCCCCATCTTTTACTAAGTATTAAAAAAATACACAAGGGAAGGATGAGGACACAGACCTCATCTGCTGCTCTAATAATGCTTTCTTCTGTAAAAAAGGATGCAGGACTTTTGAACTCATCCAGATGTAAATCCTAATATGAATGAATATGCACGCCATTATCTTTGCATAACTAATAAAAGTTACTTGTTAGTACAACTTACAAGGTGCACTCTCGAAGTTTTTTGTCAGCCTGCTTCAAGGAGATCCAGGTGTTTAACATATTTGATCGCAGTTTGGCCCACACCAAATGGTTGTTTAACCCAAATATCTGGGCAGCAAACTGGGCAGCTCCTTCAGGTGACAGAGTAGTAGGACAGCCAAGACCTGCAGAGAAGAGTGTCACTTACCAAAGCATATTTTAATAGTCAGACAAAACACTGCCTCTGAGGAACAACTTAAGATAATGTTTGTCTCAGCCTCCAGGAACCACATGATCTAGTTTTAGAGCTACTGAAGTGTCATGTGTTCCTCTACTTCTAACATGACTGCTTCATGGCATTTTAAACCCAAAGCCAGCATACCAGATGACTCTCCTTATACAGAGGGAACAGACTTCTGGTTGCCAAGCATCCATTCAAGTCACTAACAAAGTTAAAAATCATACAGGTAGCAGTGCCCTGAAGGAACAGAGTTAAGCTCTTACCTACACTGATTGTGGAGAAGGGTATTTTTTGATCTTTGATCATAAGGAAAATGCAGCTCTATAACTGAACAAAATTCAGTTATTTAAATCCCCAATAATACTGACTCAAATTTCAAACTGGAATGCTTAGCAAGGATAAGCCAAGGTTTATATTTCTCTAAACATTACTCCTATGTAATCTTTGCTCTGTTTGTTGGGCTTTTTGCCATCAAGAAGTCAAAGACTGTATGCATGATATTTCCAAAGACTTTGTTCAGTACTGATCCAGCTATTTTTCCAGTTTTTTTGCCATGTGTGTTTGTACACGTATGTACACTAGAACAACAACAAAAATAGAGCTAGGTCAGAACAAGAGCATAAGTGGAAGATCATCTTACCGCTGGGTAGTCTGAGAGAGGACCACACATCCTGAGTACCCCAGTCAGCTGAGAGTGGAGGACAGTTGACAACTGGGTAAGCAGTGTTACCAGACATCACTGGCCCCAAACCGTTGCTTCTGCCAGCTACTGCAACAAACACTGTTGGGATTCCATCTCCTGGTGGGGAGGAAGACGTGCAGAAATAAGCAATCCACCTTCACCTTGTTCTTTACCACTTGCTTTTGTGGGAACTTTGAGTCCACAATTCTGTTTGCAGTTATTTTGTCAAGTCCATTACATAGCGCTAGAATTGTGTGTCCGAATTCCCTCTTTACAGAAATATCTTCTAAATCTTGCAGCCTTAAATCCCAGCTACTGTTTACCACAACTGAAGTTAGCATATCTTACTCTGCTTCTGAGGAGAAGTCTCAGTATCTGAGGAATAGGTGCTGCTTAGCTTTGTAGAGAACATAACCATTAAACCTCTGGCATTTTCAAGTGTTCCTCTCCTTAAATCTTACACAGTTCACCTCAGAATAAGTGTTTCTCAACTATGGTTACCACATCTGTAGTTTCACTGAGTAGAAAGTATACTCCCACAGAACAAATAGTTCTTATCTCTCCTCTGCTAGGCTATAAGCACTTTTGAAGAGATGTCAAGTTTTCTTGGTAAAGATCAGAATTTAAATCAAGTATCTTTTTCTGCTGGCATCTAAAATAACAAGCAAGAATGTTTTTATGAAACAGACAGGAAAGCATAATGGGAGCAACATCTTCCTTGTAAATAACACATAAGGATATTCAGAGTCAGCTACAGAAACTATCATTCCTCCTTGTTTCAGGCAGGCCAGCATCACCAGCAAGATGCTACAATAAATGTATTAACATGATCAAGGCTTGGGCAAAGTAGTTCTGGTACTGGAATAAAAGCAGAGGTTAGACTTATAGAAGTTGTGGCTGGGCAGTAGGACAATACATTAACTGTTTAGTGCAGTCTATAACCTGTCATTATGTAATTAGCAAGTGTAGAACAGCTTGGTGTTCTGTTTAACAAAAAAATGGAAGAATCCCACACAAATCCTTAAATTGCCAAGTCATTCTTGAACATGATACTGTTTGAATTCAAATCAGTAGTTCTTTGTAATTTACCTTCATATTCTGCTTTGATCCTCAGGGTTTCATCTGGCCCTTTGTGAGCAGAGGTCACTCTTAACTCACAAGGAATTCCAAAGGTCGCACATGCCTTTTTTATTTTTTCACAGTGACTGAGGTCAGAAGGAGATCCCATCAACACCACAACTCTACCTTGGCTCTTTGTTTTCAGAAGTAACTAGGGAAAAGAGTGAAGCGGGGGGCAAGGGAAAGAAAAGCAGTCAACAGGACTGAAGATACGCAGTTATTGAAGTCTAGATAAGTTGTTCATAAAAACAGATACCTCCACTCTTTCTGCAACCCATTCGAAGTTTCTCTTAACCATTTGCAGTGCTTCAGGAGTCACTTCTTTTAGGTCCCGGTAGGACTGAAAAGAGGAAAAAAATAAATACTGAAGTTACTGTGTTTTGGGTACCCAAAGCTACCATATGGTTTTGCTACCATAATTGGTAAGAATATCCCAACTGAAGTATTTATGCAGTTTCTAGCAATTCCACAGGAAGGAGACCAGACATTGGTACAGCTATAGGAAAGAGTGGATATGGAAGCAAGGAAGAGCTATTTCATGAAGAACCATCTCAGTAGGTGTAAACAACCTTCTCCATTATAGTTCATGGCCATTTGCAACATGAAAGGCTTTTAGCCACGTGGGTATCAAGGTTTTGGAGGCTCCCCAAAGAGAAAATTTGGGAAAGACATAAAACTTCTTTAAAATTAGATATGTAATGATGTGATTGCCTGCAGTAGCACTGCACTAGCCAACCTGGGTTCTGCACAGTGTTATCACATACCTTATTTTAAGGAGATGAGCAAAAGCACTGTCAGAGCAATTCACTCAAGCATGCTACTACATAATTCAGGTAAAGTAAGCAGTAGAGCAGTTGTGCTTCCTAATTTAAAAGTAATACCCACCCACCCCACCCCCCTTTGAAATCTTCCCCTGTGGCTTACAGCCACTTTCTCTCACAGGGTCTCCATTACTAGTCTCAACAACTGTCACAGAAGCTCCATGACAGCAGCATTCCCAAACCAGTTCTTTCATAACTATTCATCTGGTAATTCAGAGATATTTGACAAGCATAATTGCTACAAGTTTAAATATAGGACAAGTTTTATTTCAAACTTATGTTTGCAGCCCTCATATGTGGGCACAGTATGTTAGTAACACTTGGAGACAACTGAACACTGAATTCAAGCTTAACCAAAATAAGTAATGAAGGAAAGCGTCCTCCCTGCAGATCCCTCTTATGTATCACCAGACCTCTGCCAGTAGAGGATACCACTGAACAAACAGAGAAACCTGGGAGGCAGACTTGGGAACCAAAGCTTCTATTGTTCCCACTGATTTGTTGTCCAACTATTTTATTATCTGCACAACAAGTCAGAAATTCTTATTACCCCTGGAAGCTCCACACTTCATTATAATAGCTCCAGTCAATAGTGCTGCTGGGCGTTCCTACTGAAGATACACAGGCAGAGGATTTTTTTCTACCATAAACCAGATACTCAACTATGTAATGAGAACAGGATTGGACATTAGGTAACCTATCAGCTACTCTGTAACAAGATAAGACTATCTGGAAAAAGCCACTTCAAAAGCAGATGTTTAACTGTAGGGTTTACTTTCTTCATTCTCCTTCCCAACTGACTTAGAAGGTAAAGACTGAAACACTACCTGTTTATCCTTCTGTTGGCTTCTGTCTCCTGATGGCCACAGTCTCCATGAGTCATTATCAATAACATCGGCAAGAACAATTTCCTTTGTCAGAATATTAACACCAAATTCAATCTAAAAAGACAATAAGAACCCTATCTTAGGAACTATACAGTGGTGTATTTCCTGTCAGAACCAGGATCGTGAGAAATCAGGTTCTTATACCTTCAGGTCTACCAGAGTGCAGTTTTGGGGCTGCCATGATTTTTCCAGGATCTCAAAAATAGCTTGAGTAGAACGAGCCATAATATCCACTTCAGTCTGGCCAATAGTAAGTCCAGCAAAGCAGAATTTTGCTTCAATTAGCTGCTCCTCAGACCACTGTGGATCATTATTAGCATCATCCTGTTGAGAAAACCAAAATATATACATCATGTAATTTAAGCTTGCTATAAGAGAATAGCCATCAGAAGATAATACTAGGTTTTGTTTGCTTGTTTTTCAAAAAACCAAATACAGGCTTCAAACTAGTATTTTATGATTAGCACTAAAAAAAATGCGACAGCATCACTGAGAACACTTGCTGTAACACCTGAACATCTTTAAAAGCACCTCAAGTTTGGACAGTGCCACAAGAGTAACAGGGTACACTACAAACAACACTTTAGGTCACAGTTCACAAGACGCTTCTTTCAGGACACATTCCCAGAGAAGTTCAGAATCCTAAACAACTAGCTAGCTGCTTACCCTCACCATGCAAGTACTGTTTTAATTTCTTCAAATATATCAACATATCCATTTCAACTGATATGTTAGGCTTATACGTAAAAAGTCCTTATGCCTTATAGATAAAACATTTTCCTATTTTATGTATAGTTTGGCTTGTTATTCTTTGATGGCCCTGTAAGCCAGTGTTACATTATATGCACTTTAGACAAAACAGCTGTTGGACAAGAATGCAAGAAAACATTAGGATGGCAAAAACTGCCAATCCTAAGAGGACTGGTCAGCCACTAGCACTACTTGCTTTATTTCTCAGCATTTTAAAGGAGATAATACAGAGTTCTAGCTCTGTTTAAGTTTGATTAACATCACAGGAAAGGAAAGGAAACTTACCTTGTAAAACATCTCAATTTTGGGTGGGTAAAACTTATATCCTTCTTTGACGCCAGGGTTTCTTTTGAGGAAGGAGCCAGTAGCAATTCTTCTGCACACCCATTCAATTGGTATCATTTCACAGTGAGCTGCTATGAATGCTGTGTCACTCTGTTTCCTGACAAAAGCCGTTTTGATTCCTAAATATAAAGATGGCAGCTTAGTTCCATTATTAGGCACAGTCCACAGTTGAAACAATAGTCACAAATGTCTTTAACTACAACTGAATCTTGTTCTTCTCTGGACTTAAGGGACACACTGAATCTCTTCAGGGTATTGTAAGCCCATTCTAGCCTTGCAAAAGGCAATGAACGTGGTTATCTTCCACAACTCGTTAGTTTTGCCATTTTTATCATAAAACGCTCACTCGTAGCTCACAACCTTATGTTCTGATCAGAAATCCTATTCTTGCAAATAAATTTTTTTCACAGAGCTTTAAAAAAAAAAATAAATCTATCCCTCACAACGGGTTGTTTTTAAACAAAAGTTAGCAGCAACCAAATACCCAGCCATGCTCTCTGCTGGAAGATCCATCACATGTGGAACAGTAATTGGAGGCTTTCAGAGGAGTTAGGGAGCACAGTAGTCTTTACTACTTTGTTTAATAAAGGAGAATGGAGCAGCGAACAGAACAACTTAGTCCTCCCTTCCATTACAAACTAACATTTAGGCCACTAGATCTTAGTGATTTGTTAGGCAAAAGACATTAAGACTCAGAGAAGCGTGTGCACAGACACAAGCCTTCTGCCGCAAGTCAACCTTCTCACATAGCTCTAACATGATCCCGTATTAAACAGGATAGCCAACACATGCAGATAGGCACTGTAAGTGCCAAATGACTCTTTTTTCAATTTCACTCTTGAGGAAAGTCGCACCTTTCTCCCCCCAGGGTAAGACAACTGCCAAGCCTAATTGGCATCTACCAGAAACAGAAGACAAAGGAGCTGCATCCAGTCAAACCAAGAAGTAGCTCTATTCCATTCTGGTTCCAGAGCCATAAAGGAAAAATTGAAGTCTTAAAATATAGTATTGACATTGACCCTTCAGATTTTGTTGCATTGCCCTCAAGGGCAGAATGATTTAAATAATCAACTGCACATTAAGTAACTTCTAAATGCAGGCATTAAGGCCCCTGCATGGTTTACTACTACATTTTTCATCAGTGCAGATCCGTGCTTTCGAAGGGCTGACATTAGCTCTATTATAAAAGGGAGAGAAACTTTAACAGAACTTTGTAAATCATCACTTTTGAAGAAGTAGGTTAAGAAGAGTTGCGCAAAGCAAACAAACTACTTCTATGATAAGGCATTCGCATTATCTGCGATTTACGCCAGGCAAATAAGCAAACTGGAGAAGAACGCTGAAAGTTCTTTTGTTGCTTTAAAACGGAGCTGCAGTTTACTCTGCATATTTTTCCACAGCACCTGAAGTTACTGAGTACAAGCCATTTAAGGATCTTTGAGAGGTCTACAGCATGGCTTCTTCAAATTTGAAGTTCATATCTGTAGGATATTAAGTATTTTGATTGTTATCTTAACTATTGCCATTTAAGAATTAGGCAAAACATCTCATTGAAACTGGTAGTTTTCATCAACTGCAAATATAGGTTTCCCAAGAAAGCCAGTGACTGAGGATTATACTGAATGACTTCATGTATCTTTGTCGCAGCCCATATTTTAAGAACTACTTGCACAAAAATTAAGGTAGATAAAACTCTACAGAAACCATCTTCCTCTTCCCCACATGTGAAACATGCTAGGACTCTACTGTTTGACTGTCTGAGAACTATTACTACACCTTGTAACAGATAATACAACTTCTAGAGTAACTCAGCTAGTACTTCAAGCAATCTTTGTGCGAATGCTTCAAAGTGCACTGAGCATGCAGCTGTAAGTGGTCTTAATGAAGTTTACTGGTGCCTGTGTTACAGTACTGTTTGCGGACTCAAGTTAGAAACCCACCAGCACGAATTCCTCTTTGCAACTTGCAAGCTTCTCAGTCGAAGACACTTCAAAATGCTTTCTCAAAGCAAAGATACTGGCTCCATTTCTGGAAGTGTGGTGCAAAACTTACTTGAAGTGACTCAAGTTAGTTACGTGCTGCATGAAAGCTCGCTTCTAGCATCAGAAATATTTTGAGTCTTTTAAAATAAACATTAAGTTCCCGATACATTCAATACAGACCAATACATGCATTTGCAATATAGTCCTCATAAGTGTTTAAGTACAAAGCATACAGAAACTTTACATTAATATAGCACACTGAGAGGGGAAAAGAAAAAAAAAAGATACTCCAATTTTATCTTTTAACTTTTATACACAAATTTCACACAGCTTAGACATAGTCTGGTAGTGCCACTAGCTAGCAGTGTCTTCTCTGCAGGCAGATGTAGTAAGAAAGACGAGATGCATGCAGTCTGGTACTACAGGCAAGTGGGTGTGGGGGTAGGGAAGAACTGACAAAAGTAGAGGGCAGGATCAGAGGTGTGTCCAAACAAGCAGCGTTATCTGCGATTAGAAGATTACTTCAGATAGTCTCATGTTCCAAATGAGAACATGAGTCGCCCACCCAGCTCTGTAGTACCAGAGGGAAAAGTGTAACTGAAAACTAATAGAAAAGACACTCAAAAAACCCATCAGAGCTTCAAGGCAGGATAAACCAACGTATACATAAACAATACTGTTTAGTAACAACATCTGTAACACACAGGGATGTATTCTACCTTTGAAATACTTACCAGCTTCTTGAAGCAACTGAAACACACAGCTAGTTGTTGTATTGGAAATGGCAGCCTTCCCTTCCATTCGGTCCTTCCTGGCTGCATTTCCCGCTGTTATTTGGTCTTTTGACTGCATGAGAACACATCCCGGCATATCCGGCAGCTCGTACACTTCTTTCGTTTTACCTTCATTAACTTTTTTACCAAGTTTCAGGTCTAGAGAAATAAATTTAAAAAAAAAAACAACACAAAACCACAACAGTTTCAGTTTGAAAGGAATTTTTTACTTCTGCATGTAAGCCCACCAGGTTCGCACACTTTATCAGCTGGCAGCCAAGCGAGACCCAGCAGGACCCCACGCTGCAGTCGGTGACCACGAAGAGCAGGCTAATCCCCCAATCTACAGGGCAACTCGGTCAGGTTCCCCTCGGAGCAGCGAGGGCAAAAGCAACCGCTCAAAGCTCCTGCCCACGGCGCTCCGGCGCCAGGGGGGACGGCGCATCCCTCCCCCGTTAAAGGCGGGCGGGCGGGCGGCTGCTGGCGGGGAGCGGCGGTGCGCCCGCTCCTTCGGCGACGCTCTCCCCACCCAGCGCGGGGTTCGGAAGCGCCCTCTGAGGCGGTGCCGGCAGGAGCCGTGCCGACTTCACCCATTCGTTGCCTTTTTTAGTTTTTTAACTTCGGGACAAACCCGAAGCTCAGAGAGCCAAGCGGCAGCCGCCCGGAGCATCCTCCTCCGCCCGCAGCGGGTGAGGCTGGAAGCTTCGGCTCGAAGCGTTCCCCTGCCCCTCGCCGCCTCTCCCGCGGGGCGGGGGGGGGGCCGGCCCCCCCCCCGCCGGGGCGCGGGGCGCCCCCCCCAAAACCCAACAAAATTAAAAACTTTGCGGGGAACAAAAAAACGCTCGCTCCCAAGCACCGACACCCCGAGCCCGGCTGAGCGGGCACCGGCCCCTCGGGAGCGGCGTGTG